CTGCTGCATGTCTGTTACCTCCCTTTGTCTGCTACATGTCTGTTACCTCCCTTTGTCTGCTACATGTCTGTTACCTCCCTTTGTCTGCTACATGTCTGTTACCTCCCTTTGTCTGCTGCATGTCTGTTACCTCCCCTCCCTTTGTCTCTGTTACCTCCTTTGTCTGCATGTCGTCTGTACCCTTACCTCCCATGTTTTGTCTGCTGCTTTGTCTGCTGCATGTCTGTTACCTCCCTTTGTCTGCTGCATGTCTGTTACCTCCTTTGTCTCATGTCCTGCCATGTCTGTTACCTTCCTCTGTGTCTGCTGCATGTCTGTTACCTCCTTTGTCTGCTACATGTCTGTTACCTCCCTTTGTCTGCTGCATGTCTGTTACCTCCTGTCCTTTGTCTGTTGCTGCATGTCTGTTACCTCCCTTTGTCCGCTCATGTCTGCTTGTCGCTGCATGTCTGTTACCTCCCTTTGTCTGCTGTACATGTCTGTTACCTGCCATTGTCTGCTGCATGTCTGTTACCTTCCTTTGTCTGCTGAATGTCAAGCTCCTTTCCAATGCGTGACACTTTCCTTACAATATCGGCAACATCACCACAATACTCATCAAAGTGGAGATTACAAGAATTGTGAAATTTGCCTCAATCCAGGAATGCAGTGACAAATATGATTTTGTTTTTTCCCAAGGAAATGTCATTGCATGGTTGTGGACTTCTAGCAACCATAGCACAGAGGCTGAATAGGCTGTCGCTGTGAGGAATTTGGTTGTGTGCGCCGACTCCCTAATCTGCTGCAACATGTCTGTTTTGTGAGTTGCCAACCTTCATATGCTGCGAGATGTTTATATGGTCAGTTGCCTCCCTTTATCTGATGCAGCATGTCTTTTTGAGTTGCCTCCCTTACTGCTGCAACATTTGTTACTAGAATTGTCTCCCTTTGCTTGCTGCAGTAAATGGCCTCAGAGCACAGTTACACCCCTTAACTTTTACCATGACCCGAAAGTATAATATGAGAATATAGTGCCTTGTTTAAATAGGCTGTTCTGCTTGTGCTAATTTTTTCAGGGTGACTTGTGATAGCTTAAATGAAAGGTAAGACATTGTACTTTATTGCAAAATTCTTTTGGTCCACAATCTACTCATGGTATTGACACCGGCCTTCCTTGATTTGCCCCAAGTTCAAGGCTGTCTAGTGTGTTTCGGCTTGTAACTTCCGGTGACCATTGTTTACAGTGGATACAGCAAAATTGACATGGTCGATCCAGGCTCATATTTTGCCGATTAAGTGACAAGTGGCAGGTTGGTCAGCATGCAACAGGAGAACAACCTACGACCGATATTAATTATGGTGCACTGGCATGTCACTGTAGATAGCAAAGAAGGAAAATAATTGTGGTCTGAGGCCAAATCTGAATTGCCAGTTACCTCCCTTCATCTGCTGCAACATTTGTTACGTGAAATGTCTCCCTTTGCTTGCTGCAGTAAGTCTGTATTGCCAGTTACCTCCCTTCATATGCTGCAGCATTTGTTACGTGAATTGTCTCCCTTTGCTTGCTGCAGTAAGTCTGTATTGCCAGCAACCTCCCTTCATCTGCTGCAGCATTTGTTACGTGAAATGTCTCCCTTTGCTTGCTGCAGTATGTCTGTATTGCTAGTTACCTACCTTCATATGCTGCAGCATTTGTTGCATGAAATGTCTCCCTTTGCTTGCTGCAGTAAGTCTGTATTGCCAGTTACCTCCCTTCATATGCTGCAGCATTTGTTATGTGAATTGTCTCCCTTTGCTTGCTGCAGTATGTCTGTATTGCCAGCAACCTCCCTGCTGTGAATTGTCTCCCTTTGCTTGCTGCAGTATGTCTGTATTGCCAGCAACCTCCCTTCATATGCTGCAGCATTTGTTACGTGAAATGTCTCCCTTTGCTTGCTGCAGTAAGTCTGTATTGCCAGTTACCTCCCTTCATCTGCTGCAGCATTTGTTACGTGAAATGTCTCCCTTTGCTTGCTGCAGTAAGTCTGTATTGCCAGTTACCTCCCTTCATCTGCTGCAGCAGCATTTGTGAAATGTCTCCCTTTGCTTGCTGCAGTATGTCTGTATTGCTAGTTACCTCCCTTCATCTGCTGCAGCATTTGTTACGTGAAATGTCTCCCTTTGCTTGCTGCAAGTCTGTATTGCCAGTTACCTCCCTTCATATGCTGCAGCATTTGTTACGTGAAATGTCTCCCTTTGCTTGCTGCAGTATGTCTGTATTGCTAGTTACCTCCCTTCATCTGCTGCAGCATTTGTTACGTGAAATGTCTCCCTTTGCTTGCTGCAAGTCTGTATTGCCAGTTACCTCCCTTCATATGCTGCAGCATTTGTTACGTGAAATGTCTCCCTTTGCTTGCTGCAGTTAGTCTGTATTGCAACAATACCTGAGGCGTGTTCAGAACCGCGAGTGAGAGTGCCCGCGAACGCTAGCGAGCGTTCGATCCTGAACGCCTGTGCCCGCTCGAGCACCGCGAACCATTCTCACAGCTGCCTCGCCAAGCGAACCAAGATGGCGATCATGTTTAATGTCAGTCGTCACCACTCGCCCCTTTCCGTAACCACCAAAAAGAAGACATGGAGAATATTTTGTTTATGCTGTCAAATAACATGTATATGTCATCGAGTGGTCTGAAAAAGTTGATATGTTCACGAGTTGCGTAACCATTGACAACATTAACAAAATATTCAATTTATTATATTTTGATGATTGTTTATAAATGATCGAGACATCTATTTCGTAGTTCGCGTTTCGTAGTTCCAGGCAAAAGTGATATTCTACTCAGTGAAAATGACAATACCATTTTTATTTTCACCAATATTTACAGTATTTCACCCTTAAGAATATAATAAAGAAGCTATTCGGCTTGTCTCGAACAACACGAAGTTGGTCACAAATGGCTTATTGTAACCAAGCTCGCGTCGGTTAAGGGCCGATCTGGCTTCATGGAGGCAATCGCAGGCGCTCGGGGTTCTGAACACGCCTCAGGTTGTACCCTGATTGGACCTGGTCCCCAGCAACCTGTGGCGATTGTAAGAGTATCTCAAATGGCCCAGGTGGGTGGGTAGGCTCACTGACTTGGGTGATACTGTGTCCTTGTTTCCCAGTTGCATCAGTTGGTGCTGACAACACCAAACACTGGATAATCTGGTCTAGACTTGACAGACCACTGCTACAGAGCTTTAATATTGCAAACTATGGCGTTAAACTAAAAACAAACTTGTTGAATCCATCGTGATATACTAAAGTGTTAACAATGGTCCCAATAAAACAGAACAAACAACTCAGAGCTTAAATAAAGTTTATCAAAACAAAACTGCAACGTCACAGCTCTAGTCAGTTTTGCAGATGTTGACTATGATGAATGGAAGATAGCTACATAGAATAGCACACAGGTCTGTACAGGTATGATCACTACAGGAGGAAGATTATTGTTATTATGCAGAACGAAAAAGTATAAGACGCTTCATAACGGGAGGTTCACTGCTGATAGAATTAGGGTCCCGCAAACGCTATGGGGATAATTAGGGTCTTTCACAAAACTGGCAGAAATACTTCAACAAATACTTTCCAAAACCAGACCCAGAAAACAGAGCTATGAATTTTGGTTAATGCTTAGGAATTGTCTCTCATGTCTTGTTTGCAAGAGATGATGACCTGACTATAATCAGTGGCATTAACAGAGTTACAAAAGTTCATCTGGAAGTGATGATTTTCCCGTGAGCTTGTTCATGTCAGGGGCTCCTCCATCTTGAGACGCAAACACTCACTTTCAGTTGGGAAGCCCGGTTCGATGAATACATTTAAGTAGTGATATTTCATTCCTCAAACTTTAACACACAAACTCATTCTCAAAACCAATTAGAAAAACACAAACAGAGCTGATTGTTTTGATTAGAAAAAGTATTCCAAACTGCTCTTGCATAAATCTGCTTCATAAAACTGAACATCACTGTTGGAACCATGTGTTGTATGACAATGGTGACACGACCTAAATACTGCTGTGGTCAGATTTTACACAATCAAATTGTATCCCTAAATGTCAAACAAGAATCCAATCACAAATACTGTTCTACAGTTCTACAACAAGTTCTAGTCTACATGTTTAACATCAGCTCCAAATCAACTTGATAATCAATATGAACATGAAACATCTGCATAGCATACTGCGAATTGTATTTCACCCTAAAGCACTAGAAGCAAGATAACTTTGTAATAAACACCTTTACTAACCTCACCCAAGTACCACTTACATCATCATAAACAACACAGTAACAAATGCTATCCACTTAACTGTACAGTTATAATGGTGTTTCATATCATCCTAAATCTCCAATAAAATCCAGTCCAATTGTTATTGCCTTTATATGCAGGTTGCTTTTTCCTGGCTTGATCTACTCCAGCCAAACATAGAGTAGGTGTACTTCTAGCATACATGGTACAGACTGGTAATTAGCAGGACTGAATGATTTATCATGTTCATCCAATAATTAGGTTAATCAATGTCAATGTTGGAAGCCTCCATAACAAGGACAGACTTGTCCCGAACACACCCGACAGCCGCCGTATCAAGTAAGTGACGCTGCTAGCCCCACAACAAGACATTACTTCCCAAACACACCCGACAGCCGCCGTATCAAGTAAGTGACGCTGCTAGCCCCACAACAAGACATTACTTCCCAAACACACCTGACAGCCGCCGTATCAAGTAAGTGACGCTGCTAGCCCCACAACAAGACATTACTTCCCAAACAGAAATCTTCTGGATGTACTCGGTCATCTACAGATTCCCTGCAGGTTTCTCTCTTGATAAGAAATCTACCAAAGATCAAAATATGGGAACAAAGTTTTCTCAATATTGATTAATTTATCAAACAACAGCCACATACAACACAGTGCTCACAGACCACAGGAAACACTGGCCACCTTATTTCCAATATGTTTCTTGATTGTCAGATAAATCAATGTACACTAATCAACAACACTTGAGGTTTTCTCGAATCCTTTAACATTATAAGTTTTGTTCACTACCCTCAAAGTTCTATGACCATGTCTGTTAAAACAATGCAATGTACTCCATTTCACATTCTAGACAACATCCAGTACAGGACCCTGTTCAGACAAAACCTCTCTTTAAATACTGTTAAGCATAGCTCTTGTGGACAAACTAACATCCACAGTATTAGGAATGAGTTAGTTATATGATTTAGAAATTAATTACAGTTACATTACTATTAGGAGTACGGTAACACAATGGCTGCAATAACATCTATAAATACAAATTGTACGATGTCAGGAACTAACAACACCTAACTCACCCGACTACCCAATCATCCCCAGTCTCTTTGACCCTACAGAATATCTAAACATGAAATATTACTGTCTCCAAGCATCTTCAAATATTTATTGTGGGCCCTTCAAAATATATCATTCTTGATTATGAAGTTATTACCAATATACACATGTGCATGTGGAACAGGACAATCTGTAATGCAACAACCAACAAGGCTTATAATACTGTCCCTCTAAGAGGAGACACAATAACTTTAGGAAACATCATATTGTGTACATTATTCATCATTAAAAAAAGTAACACAAAGACCCCTGGAATTAATCAAAGGATTCAATGAACGAATTTCTGAATTGCATTTCTCAGTCTAAAGAGAATGGCGTTATACAATGGGAAAATAGAAGATGTATTTTTCGTCAGATGAACAAAATATTACTCTTTAAAAGACTGACTGACTGACTGAGTATGGTTTTACGCCGTGTTTAGCAATATTCCAGCAATATCAGGGTGGGGGACACCAGAAATGGGCTTCACAAATTGTACCCATGTGGGGAATTGAACCCGGGTCTTTGGTGTGACGAGTGAACGCTTTAATCACTAGGCTACCTCACCGCCCCTCTCTTTAAAAGAACCAAAAGTTTACTCATAGTCTGAATCATAACTTTCCAATCTTGTATCAACATTAATAAAACTTGTAATTTCAAACTGATTTCAAAAACCAATATTTTCTGTGCTCAAATGTCCCAACTCCAATATCATCAACACTTCCTGTATCATCACATCATCAGAATAGCTGACTTCGTTTTCCAGAAATAACCAAAAATGAAACCTTTTCTTTGGTGAGAATGAAACAATAAGACACAAGGTGCTTGTAACATTGTGTCAACCTACAGCTGCCAAAACATATTGTCACTGTTAATTCCAAATATTAACAAGGGTTAAACTATTAGCATACAAAGTTCCATATTCTCACACTGGACCAGACAGGAACTATTGAAGGTAGTCATACTCAACAGACAGTACAATAACAGAGATATCATAGTGCCCAACCAATGCCCCCGAAGCAGAGAATATGCAGAGATATCACACACACTGTTAACCAATCCCTGCCAGACAAGGGGAACATAGGGATATCATCCAATGTTCAACCAATCCCTGCTAGCCAGGGGGAACACAGTGATATCATCCAGTGTCCAACCAATCCCCTAATATACACGGCAAACACTCACTTTCCAGCTGGCGTGTGATAATAACAATACACGTCCTGGAGAGGCCCTCCTAACAAACCTGCACCCCATGTTCACTTCAAAATTACCAGTGGAAATGAAAATAGGGACAATTGTTTTGCAATATCAAATTGGCGTATCCAGAAAAAACCCTAACAACTTATGGCATTGGAGAAATCTAATTATTACTACACCTTCTTGCTTAGGAAAGATTTCTATCAACAAGGGTAACACTGTTCTTGAAACACCTGACAGTTATCCTGTGGTTCGTGTAGGGACCAGGCTGGCATCAGTATTGTCTGGTCACAATGACATTACCACAACCTTATAAGATGGAAAGTGAGTGTCTGGAGTAAACATCGATACATCAACAACAAAACACCACTACACATCCTGAGAATATAGTGTGATCATCAGAAATGGAAAATATACAATCTCTCAAAATAGTTTAAATATAAGCATTTCTATACGTCTTGTGGAAAATAGAAAATATGCCCTGAAATGTAGTTTCTCAAATGACGGTACAACTGGCTCCTGTCAGCTTGGTGTTACGAATGGTGGGACCAATTGCTTTGGACGAAGTGTGCAGAGGCAAAAGTCATAATACTATAACAATTTATACTTGTGTTATTTCAAGGACTAAATCTCAGATAATACATCAAAAACTAACTCAGATATGGGTGACGACAGTGAGTGCATGAATATTGCCATCTAATGGGTGTGCAGACAGTCAGAAGAAACTATGAAACCGACAAACTAAACCTCTACTGGAATCAAAGTGATGTTTACAAGACTGGGCTAACCCTAGTCCTACTGTCACTGATGGTACATCGATCCAAGTGGAGGAATTCTTCAACCAAAACACAGTGACCACAGTATTGCCTTCTACTTCATGTTTAATATTTTCAAAAGAAGACATGGAACTGTGAATGAGCTGTGTTTCTACTGCTTTATTATTCAGAAGCAATTGCAGAGGGACGCAAGTTCTCAACTTTTAGCTGCTCAGTGAAATCCACAAGTATAGGAGGTGGCCGGCCCAGGATCACTACTGGAGGAAATATGGGATCCAAACTCAGCCAAGCGACTGTGTAGAGCAGTACTGGGTCACCTTCTACATCTTCACTGTGCCTCACAGACCCTCAACCAGGAACATCCAGAAATAACCACAAGGTCATGTTTGATAATTGCACTTTGGGTTGGACTTAACAATGCGACACAAGCAGGAGGGTGTGTGCTTCATGACCAGTAGAAGGTGGAGGTCAAGGCCAGTTATTGGATTAGTACAAATAATCAAATGTAAAGATAGTAGAGAATAGTCCAAGACAAAAACATACAACATTCACTTGCATAACTAAAATGTTCTTGTTGTACTAACATTGATAGTGCTCTGCATGACCTGGAGCGATGGATGCTGTAAGTGCTGAAACCAACACAGTAATCAACCTGGAGAAAGGGTGGGATGGGAAAATATCGTATCTACACAAAGCTCCCAGTCTATAACAGTAAGTACTCAAACACACAATATATATATATATATATATAACACATAAATGTACAAGTTATTACAGAATTCTTAGCAAAGCCATGACTTGCCTCAATGAAGCAGCACAAGGGGGTTGTGTTATTGTAGAAAACAATATTCTACCCATTTCCCAGTAGGAATCTTTTATGCATAAAGACAAAATTGGAATGAGATTATTTTTTATGAAGGATGTCACCTCCATGCGTTGCTTCATCAAGGGAGGAATAGAACTGTATGATCTCACAGTGCAATACAGTGTAAACACCCTCGTACCCTGATCGGCTCGAATTATGCAGCCCTAAACATGCATAACGGAATGTACTGTTCAAACATATATTGCCAAAGATTAACATGTCATAGAAGTATACACTATTTCATTCTCATTGATACAAATTATGCTTCAACATAATCCTAAAATATATTGTTCATGAATCCTTTACAACACTGTAGACCTTCTACCTATTGCTGTTCTACAGCTGTTCTACAGCTGTGTGGCCCTGGGAGATGACACTGCAACAACGGACTTGGGAGCCAGGCTTTGCAGTGCAACAGCTGACTTTAGGGACCAATCTTAGCATGACAATGCCAGGTTTTGGCACTGCACGAGTTGACTTGGGACTTGCATAGTCTAACACTGAGATTTCACATTATAGTACATTCTCCCTAAAACTTTTAAAGCTGGTGTCCAAGATCAACATACCCAGTACAGTTACATTGCAATGGAATACACAGCATACTGACCACAGTCATATGCTTATCACTGACGTAGCTGTATGTATATGTTACTACATAACAACAAACAGAGGGGTGGGGAGCACACAGAATACTCTCACACTGCTCCTGGGATACAACAAACAGAGGGGGGATGGGGAGCACACAGAATACTCTCACACCGCTCCTGGGATACAACAAACAGAGGAGGGATGGGGAGCACACAGAATACTCTCACACGGCTCCTGGGATACAACACACAGAGGGGTGGGGAGCACACAGAATACTCTCACACCGCTCCTGGGATACAACAAATAGAGGGGTGGGGAGCACACAGAATACTCTCACACGGCTCCTGGGATACAACAAACAGAGGGGTGGGGAGCACACAGAATACTCTCACACCGCTCCTGGGATACAACAAACAGAGGGGGATGGGGGGCACACAGAATACTCTCACACCGCTCCTGGGATACAACAAACAGAGGGGTGGGGAGGGCACAGAATACTCTCACACCGCTCCTGGGATACAACAAACGGAGGGGTGGGGAGCACACAGAATACTCTCACACTGCTCATGGGATACAAGCTGCCCTTCTGTCTCCAAGGACTAACATAGGCTCACTGAATACAAACAGAATCAGGGTCTACAAACAGTTCTACCTACAATTATCAAAGTGCTGTTCGTGATGTATACATAATGTATCCACACGCAAGGGATGATTCCATTCAGTACTGGTGCTGATTTAATTCTCAAAACATTTGTAGTAATGATGAGGATAAAAATGAAGGAAGGTTAGAAAATCATATTGTCATCTGGCACTGATCAAACTGTAGCTGATGACAACACTATTACTTCTAGAGGAACAACACGTCCTGAACGTTGCCTGGACAACCATTATGGTGGTCAAGACACCTTACCATCACTGAGCAGCATGTATCTTGGACAATACGGCATTGTCTTGGACAAATACCATGGCAACAGAGACATATTTACATATGTTCTCTGCAGTTGGAGAATACTTTCTTCATATATAACCATCAATTGTATTCATAAATCTCATTCATCTTATTAAACAAACGCCAAGTGTCAATATTCTTTCTCAAGATTTAAATAATTTTTTTTGAAAAGTAGAGTTTTGATATTGATGGATATGAATAGTTCCAAGGTGAATAGTTGCGGAACATATTCATACCTCTCCTAGTTCTAACACACTAACGTTTCCGGCCAGCCAGTCATGTTGTCATTTGTTGCACTGTGAGATAAAGATGGGTCATGAAGTGATGATGGTGATGAGGATGGTGAATAATACACAAAGTGACCACACCACAAGCTAACTCAAAGCCGATTGGTTGAGCTGCCTCAGGTGATGCTGTAATCAAGGCAATGATTGGTCCATTATTGGCCAGCACAGTATGATTTGTACATATTAAAAACAGCTTGGTCGACACAGTGCTGAAGGTCCCCCAGGGTCAGGGTCACTCCGCCAGTAAAGCTTTTATTGCTTTTGGTGTGGTTTCATCTTGTAAGTGTTTGGTTGTGTATCTGAAAAGAAAATATAATACAATACAATAACAACATAATAAATTTTACACAATTCATCTGGATATTCATAGCAGTAATTCACCTGGAAACATTCCATAAATATTACAGGTACAGTGTAACAAATGCTTCATATCGCACCTTAGAGCAAACAGTACATCTACATCAGGACATACTCTCCATATCTCACCTTAGAACACTCAGTACATCTACATCATGACATACTCTCCATATCTCACCTTATAGCACTCAGCACATCTACATCATGACATACTCTCCATATCTCACCTTAGAGCACTCAGTACATCTACACCAAGACATACTCTCCATATCTCACCTTAGAGCACTCAGTACATCTACATCATGACATACTCTCCATATCTCACCTTATAGCACTCAGTACATCTACATCATGACATACTCTCCATATCTCACCTTAGAGCACTCAGTACATCTACATCATGACATACTCTCCATATCTCACCTTATAGCACTCAGTACATCTACACCGTGACATATGGTCCATATCGCACCTTAGAGCACTCAGTACATCTACATCATGACATACTCTCCATATCTCACCTTATATACACTCAGTACATCTACATCATGACATACTCTCCATATCTCACCTTATAGCACTCAGTACATCTATATCATGACATACTCTCACCTTAGAGCACTCAGTACATCTACATCATGACATACTCTCCATATCTCACCTTATAGCACTCAGTACATCTACACCAAGACATACTCTCCATATCTCACCTTAGAGCACTCAGTACATCTACATCATGACATACTCTCCATATCTCACCTTATAGCACTCAGTACATCAACATCATGACATACTCTCCATATCTCACCTTGAGCACTCAAGTACATCTACATCATGACATACTTCCATATCTCACCTTATAGCACTCAGTACATCTACATCATGACATACTCTCCATATCTCACCTTAGAGCACTCAGTACACATCTACATCATGACATACTCTCCATATCTCACCTTAGAGCACTCAGTACATCTACATCATGACATACTCTCCATATCTCATAGAGCACTCAGTACATCTTCATGACATACTCTCCATATCTCACCTTATAGCACTCAGTACATCTACATCAGACATACTCTCCATATCTCACCTTATGAGCATTCAGTACATCTACATCGTGACATTTGGTACATATCTCATCTTAATAGCACTCAGTACATCTACATCTAATCGTGACATACTCTCCATATCTCACCTTATAGCACTCAGTACATATCTCACCTTATAGCACTCAGTACATCAAGACATACTCTCCATATCTCACCTTATAGCACTCAGTACATCTACACACTGTGACATATGGTCCATATCTCATACCTTATAGCACTCAGTACATCTACACTGTGACATACTCTCCATATCTCACCTTATAGCACTCAGTACATCTACACCAAGACATACTCTCCATATCTCACCTTATAGCACTCAGTACATCTACACTGTGACATATGGTCCATATCTCACCTTATAGCACTCAGTACATCTACACCAAGACATACTCTCCATATCTCACCTTATAGCACTCAGTACATCTACACTGTGACATATGGTCCATATTACACCTTATAGCACTCAGTACATCTACACTGTGACATACTCTCCATATCTCACCTTAGAGCACTCAGTACATCTACACTGTGGCATATGGTCCATATCTCACCTTAGAGCACTCAGTACATCTACACTGTGACATACTCTCCATATAGAGCACTCACCTTAACATCATGCACTCAGTACATTATACACTCTAGTACATGACATATGACTACTCCATATCTCACCTAATAGCACTCAGTACATCTACATCATGACATACTCTCCATATCTCACCTAATAGCACTCAGTACATCTACACATCATGACATACTCTCCATATCTCACCTTATAGCACTCAGTACATCTACATCATGACATACTCTCCATATCTCACCTTATAGCACTCAGTACATCTACACTGTGACATATGGTCCATATCTCACCTTATAGCACTCAGTACATCTACACCGTGGACATACTCCATATCTCAATCATTTATAGCACTCCTCAGTACATAGCACTCAGTACATCTACACCAGACATACTCTCCATATCTCACCTTATAGCATCTACACTGTGCACATAGTACATCTACACTGTACACATATGGTATGGTCCATATCTCACCTTATAGCACTCAGTACATCTACATCATGACATACTCTCCATATCTCACCTTATAGCACTCAGTACATCTACACTGTGACATATGGTCCATATTACACCTTATAGCACTCAGTACATCTACACTGTGGCATACTCTCCATATCTCACCTTAGAGCACTCAGTACATCTACACTGTGGCATATGGTCCATATCTCACCTTAGAGCACTCAGTACATCTACACTGTGACATACTCTCCATATCTCACCTTAGAGCACTCAGTACATCTACATCATGACATACTCTCCATATCTCACCTAATAGCACTCAGTACATCTACATCATGACATACTCTCCATATCTCACCTAATAGCACTCAGTACATCTACATCATGACATACTCTCCATATCTCACCTTATAGCACTCAGTACATCTACACCAAGACAAACTCCTCATATCTCACCTTATAGCATTCAGTACATCTGCATCGTGACATTTGGTACATATCTCACCTTATAGCACTCAGTACATCTACATCATGACATACTCTCCATATCTCACCTTATAGCACTCAGTACATCTACACTGTGACATATGGTCCATATTTCACCTTATAGCACTCAGTACATCTACACTGTGGCATATGGTCCATATCACACCTATAGCATTTAGTACATCTACACTGTGGCATTTGGTCCATATCTCACCTTATAGCACTCAGTACATCTATATCATGACATACTCTCACCTTAGAGCAGTCAGTACATCTACATCATGACATACTCTCCATATCTCACCTTATAGCACTCAGTACATCTACACTGTGACATATAGTCCATATTTCACCTTATAGCACTCAGTATATCTACACTGTGGCATATGGTCCATATTTCACCTTATAGCACTCAGTACATCTACACTGTGACATATGGTCCATATCTCACCTTATAGCACTCAGTACATCTACACTGTGGCATATGGTCCATATCACACCTATAGCATTTAGTACATCTACACTGTGGCATATGGTCCATATCACACCTATAGCATTTAGTACATCTACACTGTGGCATTTGGTCCATATCTCACCTTAAAGCGTTCAGTAAACCCTCCACTTTCCTAGGTCCCTGATCTTTCAAAACCTTGATAGAACTCTTCATCTGAAAGCAAGAATTATGACTGGTGGTCAGTAATACTCAATTGACCAAAATGTTATGATGCATGGAAGTACTGCAGAGAGTAATGTAGGATGGAGGTGCAGCAGAGAGTAATGTAGGATGGAGGTGCAGCAGAGAGGTGCAGCAGAGAGAGTAATGTAGCATGGAGGTGGAGCAGAGAGTAATGTAGCATGGAGGTGTAAGCAGGTGGAGCAGAGTAATGTAGCATGGAGGTGGAGGTGCAGCAGAGAGTAATGTAGGATGGAGGTGGAGCAGAGAGTAATGTAGCATGGAGGTGCAGCAGAGAGTAAGGTGCAGGAGAGTAATGTAGGATGGAGGTGGAGCAGAGTAATGTAGCATGGAGGTGGAGCAGAGAGAGTGTAGCAGAGAGTGCAGCAGAGAGTAATGTAGGATGGAGGTGCAGCAGAGAGTAATGTAGCATGGAGGTGCAGCAGAGAGTAATGTAGCATGGAGGTGGAGCAGAGAGTAATGTAGCATGGAGGTGGAGCAGAGAGTAATGTAGCATGGAGGTGCAGCAGAGAGTAATGTAGCATGGAGGTGCAGCAGAGAGTAATGTAGCATGGAGGTGCAGCAGAGAGTAATGTAGCAGCAGCAGAGTAATGTAGCATGGAGGTGCAGCAGAGAGTAATAGCATGGAGGTGCAGCAGAGAGTAATGTAGGATGGAGGTGGAGCAGAGAGTAATGAGATGGAGGTGTGCAGCAGAGAGTAATGTAGGATGGAGGTAGGATGGAGGTGCAGCAGAGAGTAATGTAGGATGGAGGTGCAGCAGAGAGTAATGTAGGATGGAGGTGCAGCAGAGAGTAATGTAGGATGGAGGTGCAGCAGAGAGTAATGTAGCATGGAGGTGGAGCAGAGAGTAATGTAGGATGGAGGTGCAGCAGAGAGTAATGTAGGATGGAGGTGCAGCAGAGATTATAAGTAATGTAGGATGGAGGTGCAGCAGAGAGTAATGTAGGATGGAGGTGCAGCAGAGAGTAATGTAGGATGGAGGTGCAGCAGAGAGTAATGTAGGATGGAGGTGGAGCAGAGAGTAATGTAGGATGGAGGTGGAGCAGAGAGTAATGTAGGATGGAGGTGGAGCAGAGGGTAATGTAGGATGGAGGTGGAGGAGAGAGTAATGTAGGATGGAGGTGCAGCAGAGAGTTGCAAGCATGAGTTGCTGTAGATGAATTCTAACCCGAAACATGTATGATCTACATTGGATTATATCAGACATTCAAACCTGAAGCTGGGCACACAAGTTTTAGTGGGTTTCAGTGTCTTGGATCACTGGCCTTACATAACAACAGTGTCAGAACTCACGTCGATTCCTGAAGTCTTCGCGAAGGCCCCGACTGGATGCACGTGGTCGTAGAGAATGATTACGCCGACCATAACTCGTAAACAGAACAACTTTGTCTCCTCACTGGTAAACCTTGAACTGTACTGGCTGCAAAATACATGTGGTCCTCATTAGCCAACAAACTCATAACATGACGTTACTCATACATGCAAACAAACCCATAACATGACATCAGTCATGCATGCCAACAAACTTGACGTCACTCATACATGCAAACAAACTCATAACATGACGTTACTCATGCATGCCAACAAACCCATAACATGACGTCACTCATGCATGCCAACAAACCTGACGTCACTCATACATGCAAACAAACCCATAACATGATATCACTCATGCATGCCAACAAACCCATGACATGATGTCACTCATGCATGCCAACAAACCCATGTCATGACGTCACTCATGCATGCCAGCAAACCCATAACATGACGTCACTCATGCATGCCAACAAACCCATGACATGACGTCACTCATGCATGCCAACAAACCCATGACATGACGTCACTCATGCATGCCAACAAACCCATGACATGACATCACTCATGCATGCCAACAAACCCATAACATGACATCACTCATGCATGCCGACAAACACATGTCACATGCCAACAAACCCATAACATGACGTCACTCATGCATGCCAACAAACCCATAACATGACGTCACTCATGCACGCCAACAAACCCATGACATGACATCACTCATGCATGCCAACAAACCCATGACATGCCGTCACTCATGCATGCCAACAAACCCATGACATGCCGTCACTCATGCATGCCAACAAACCCATGACATGACATCACTCATGCATGCCAACAAACCCATGACATGATGTCACTCATGCATGCCAACAAACCCATGACATGACGTCACTCATGCATGCCAACAAACCTATAACATGACGTCACCCATGCATGCCAACAAACCCATGTCATGACGTCATTCATGCATGCCAACAAACCCATAACATGAGGTCACTCATGCATGCCAACAAACCTATAACATGACGTCACTCATGCATGCACGTACGCATGGGACAGTTGACTGTCGCACACACATTGTCTCACTCACCTATGCACACGCATGCATATACACACATTAGGTGATGAGACTCAAAGATAATTGTCACACAGACTTACCAGCAGACCATTCACAGCTGATTGTCACAGATACACACCACTGACAGCTGATTGTCACACAGACACACCACTGACAGCTGATTGTCACAGACAAACCACTGACAGCTGATTGTTAAACATATACACACCACTCACAGCTGATTGTCATACAGACACACCACTGATAGCTGATTGTCACACAGATACACACCACTGACAGCTGATTGTTACACAGATACACACCACTCACAGCTGATTGTCACACAGATACACACCACTGACAGCTGATTGTCACAGATACACACCAATGACAGCTGATTGTCACAGATACACACCAATGACAGCTGATTGTCACAGACAAACCACTCACAGCTGATTGTCACAGATACACACCAATGACAGCTGATTGTCACAGACAAACCACTCACAGCTGATTGTTACACAGATACACACCACTGACAGCTGATTGTCATACAGACACACCACTGATAGCTGATTGTCACACAAATACACACCACTGACAGCTGATTGTCACACAGATACACACCACTGACATCTGATTGTCACACAGACACACCACTGATAGCTGATTGTCACACAAATACACACCACTGACAGCTGATTGTCACACAGATACACACCACTGACAGCTGATTGTCACACAGACACCACTGACAGCTGATTGTCACACAGATACACACCACTGACAGCTGATTGTCACACAGACACACCAATGACAGCTGATTGTCACAGACACATCACTGACAGCTGATTGTCACACAGATACACACCACTCATGGCTGTTTGTCAGACAGACACACCACTCACAGCTGATTGTCACACAGACACACACCACTGACAGCTGATTGTCACACAGATACACACCACTCACGGCTGTTTCTCACACAGACACACCACTGACAGCTGATTGTCACAGATACACACCACTGACAGCTGATTGTCACACAGATACACACCACTGACAGCTGATTGTCACAGATACACACCACTGACAGCTGATTGTCACACAGACACACCACTGACAGCTGATTGTCACACAGACACACCATTCACGGCTGTTTGTCACAGATACACACAGCTGGGCAGGACTTACGGATTATCAATCATGACCCTACATATATTGGCCATGGTGCTGAGGACATCTGTGGTCTGTTCCACGGGCAGATCTTTGTGCTGAAACATGGAGCACAAACATTGCAAAATGGTGGAATCTTCCACACAATGATACATTGCCAACAATTTACTGTCATTCAATGTGACGTATTTCACTGTAATACCCCATCATTCAATGCTATGCACTCCACATTTCACTGAGATACTGCTTCTACTCAACATTCATGATGGCAATTGATTCAATGTGGATGAAAACTCGTTATGCCTGTCATTACCTTCACTAACGTTCATGTGAAAGCTAACTTAACCAACATAATTAAATGAAAAGACTGCCACTGATTGCTGGCCTAATGACCACAGTCAAAAAACAACATACACACCATCACACACTGGGTCCCCTTAATTCTATTCATATACAGAAATCATGCGTCCATTTACAAACAGGTCACTGTGGTGATGTTGGTGACCAAACTGTTTCTTACCTGGGACACAAACTTGGCTGTGGCATCGCTGAGAGTTTTCAACATGGGGGTTGCATGTGCATAAAACAGGGACATCCTGTTAGCCATCTCATTAGAAACTGTTTCTTCCTCATTTTCATCCTGAAAAAATAACAGTTCCCTTAACTCATAAATACAGCATCAGCATCTGTGGTGCTGAAATATATTGTTGTTGCCAAAATAAAAAGTATGACAAGAACATCACAAGCCTTCTAAAGTAATATTTTGACCAGAAGATCTCCACAGTCCCTGCGGGGGACATGAAAAACTACTGAACCCAAAGGAAGTGAGAAAATGTATAACCTGTGTAGAAGATGTGATAACGTATTGAACAACTGAAGGAGAATTTAGAAACTATTCAACCCACAGAGTAGGGAGAAATTATTGAACCCGAAAGGAGAAGCACCATCTCACATTGACGCATCTTGTTCATGGATAAACTGTATAGGCCACAAACCTCATTTGCAAGTCGTTTCCGTGACAACGTTCTCCTGTAATAGCTGAAGTCGTTCTGAATGGCTGGATTGGTCATCTGGAAGTAGAGGAGATAACACGTTAGAATTCAGCATTACATCAGAACTATTACAGGAATCAACATGAAACCATTAATGTCCCGCACTGCTATGCCTATCAAAGATTTCACTGTATCTTCATCAGTCAGCAAGTTTCCATGGTGATAAATAAACAACTAGACAGAGTTTAGACAGACAAAGCAGTGGCTACTACTGTCAGCACCTGTGTTTTTCGTACCTTCAGATCATCAAACGTGAGGACAAAGTCCAGTATCTCTGCAAACTGTTTAAACAAAGACTGCTGGCACTCCAGATGTTCCCGAGGCGTCATGTTGTCCGAGCACAACTCTCGTAGCAGATCTGGTACAACATTTTCTGAACAGAGAAATCAAAAGTTATAAGTTTGTAACCCCAGTGTAGATGGACAATACGTGACTATATCTACCCAAGTGTTGGACAATATCATCCTTACGTGACACACTGATTTAGGGTCTGCTGTATCAGGGGGAACTAGTAAATCAACATTTCCTGACAGCATTTGCTACAACCTGTTGGCTACATGTACTTCATTACACATTTCCATACCTCAGCTTATAAATGTCCTAGTTACTTTAACAAATGTACATTAAGAAACCATGTTATAATCCCCATTCCTCCTTAATTGTTGTGTTGTCAGGTTGGGATTCCTCCCAGGCTGGCAGAGTACATTATGATCATATCATTTTATGGGGAAATGATCCAATTTGTCATGTTCCCAACGTTGGCCAAAGAGTTCAACCCTTTCTTGACGCCAGTTTGCACAAGTACTCGGTTGTAAGTTCTGCTCCAAGCTGGTTCTCGTGATATTTGTATTTCTATAAGATTTGTGTTCTTCGATTCTAAACGTGGGATGACCACCAAACCACTCGAATGAGATGTCAGCAATGTTTCATTAAGATTGAGTGAATACCAGCCACATTCAGCTTTTAGGCAATAGGTGTAAATAATATGTGAAGATAATGGTTGATGGTAAAGAAGACCATGCTCAGAGGAGCAACGACACAATCACCCAGTCTACAACCATTGTTCTTACAACAAGCCTTGGGTTTGGGGGGGGGGGGGGGAAGAAAGCTGTTTTGACACTGAATCCACGCTCTGGAACCCATTGTTTTCTTGTGACTGTATATAAATGATGATATTTTATGACTTTATTCCACTTCAAAGTATGAACAGCTACTACAGTCCCATTCCTGCAAGGTGATCAACTGAGTAGCTAAATACTTGGCAGACTGGGCTGGATGATGTTACCTGCTATACATAACGGCTGATTGGGACAAATGTCAGCCTTGCATGATATCACAACATACACATCAACAACATAATTAGCAACAATTGGCCTAATTATATCTCATTTGTCATTTGTGTCATTACTATGTCTGACATAACCACACAAACAGGTCACACATGAAGCTTTATCAAGTTGTTGGCTTTCTGGGAATGGAAATCACGTGGCTTGTGAGCTTTATCAGCAGGAACATATACTCACCCAGTTTGAGGGAGAATTCGTAGAAAGCTTTCAGCTTGAGAACTAGAGGGAAGACAGCTTCCAGGGCCTTCTCTTGGTGCTCGGCAATTGTGGGGTTAGATATGGCCTGGCAATCATGAAAAACAGCAGCTTTGAACAATACTTCAGCTGTATCACATGTTGTGGAAAGTGCAGAGTTATCTACTGCAGAAATGAATGAGGTTTTGATCTTGCAATCTGGGACTTGAATCCATGATGCAAAGTTTCTGGCGCAACTAAGGGGGGCAACTCTACAGGCGAACTTCAGAAGACATGGACACATAAACACAATGACCATAAATCAATGGTAACCATGGTAACAGGTAACTTACCTTCGTGTATTTCCCTGTCATGTCAAACTCTCGATGAACACATGTTTATTTACTTTCTGCTTCAGTGTTTGAAAGTGGACAAAGACAGATTCTTCCTTGTTACACTCGGCAAACTATTACTATTCTTTCATGAGATCAGTCAAGTTAAACATTCCGACTGAACTAGAACAGGAAACAATAGCAGATATGGAAAGTTATGTAGTTGTCAAATGTCATGTCAGGTATTACATATCAGAGTTCAGAGTTAGAATATGTTCCCAGAGAAGTCCAAGAACGTCCCACTACACATGAAGTAACTTGCCCCATCTCAATCTATTGGCAGCAATCTAAGGTGCACCATATCGACACTAAATGGCACCATTAGCTAGAATAAAACATAGACTGTGTTGATGACAAGACATCGGTACAGATGGGATCAGTATAGACAGGGTTGATGCATGTAAAGACATCGGTACAGATGGGATCAGTATAGACAGGGTTGCTGCTGGTAAAGACATCGGTACAGATGGGATCAGTATAGACAGGGTTGCTGCTGGTAAAGACATCGGTACAGATGGGATCAGTATAGACAGGGTTGCTGCTGGTAAAGACATCGGTACAGATGGGATCAGTATAGACAGGGTTGCTGCATGTAAAGACATCGGTACAGATGGGATCAGTATAGACAGGGTTGCTGCTGGTAAAGACATCGGTACAGATGGGATCAGTATAGACAGGGTTGCTGCTGGTAAAGACATCGGTACAGATGGGATCAGTATAGACAGGGTTGCTGCTGGTAAAGACATCGGTACAGATGGGATCAGTATAGACAGGGTTGCTGATGGTAAAGACATCGGTACAGATGGGATCAGTATAGACAGGGTTGCTGCATGTAAAGACATCGGTACAGATGGGATCAGGATCAGTATGCTGGACAGGGTTGCTGATGGGTCAGTAAGACAGGGTTGCTGCGGCACAGATGGGATCAGTATAGACAGGGTTGCTGCATGTAAAGACATGGTACAGATGGGATCAGTATAGACAGGGTTGCTGCTGTAAAGACATCGGTACAGATGGGATCAGTATAGACAGGGTTGATGCTGGTAAAGACATCGGTACAGATGGGATCAGTATAGACAGGGTTGCTGCTGGTAAAGACATCGGTACAGATGGGATCAGTATAGACAGGGTTGCTGCTGGTAAAGACATCGGTACAGATGGGATCAGTATAGACAGGGTTGCTGCTGGTAAAGACATCGGTACAGATGGGATCAGTATAGACAGGGTTGATGACAAGACATCGGTACAGATGGGATCAGTATAGACAGGGTTGCTGCATGTAAAGACATCGGTACAGATGGGATCAGTATAGACAGGGTTGCTGCTGGTAAAGACATCGGTACAGATGGGATCAGTATAGACAGGGTTGCTGCATGTAAAGACATCGGTACAGATGGGATCAGTATAGACAGGGTTGCTGCTGGTAAAGACATCGGTACAGATGGGATCAGTATAGACAGGGTTGCTGCTGGTAAAAGACATCGGTACAGATGGGATCAGTATAGACAGGGTTGCTGCTGGTAAAGACATCGGTACAGATGGGATCAGTATAGACAGGGTTGCTGCATGTAAAGACATCGGTACAGATGGGATCAGTATAGACAGGGTTGCTGCTGGTAAAGACATCGGTACAGATGGGATCAGTATAGACAGGGTTGCTGCATGTAAAGACATCGGTACAGATGGGATCAGTATAGATAGACAGGGTTGCTGCTGGTAAAGACATCGGTACAGATGGGATCAGTATAGACAGGGTTGCTGCATGTAAAGACATCGGTACAGATGGGATCAGTATAGACAGGGTTGCTGCATGTAAAGACATCGGTACAGATGGGATCAGTATAGACAGGGTTGCTGCATGTAAAGACATCGGTACAGATGGGTACAGATGGGATCAGTATGTAAGAGACAGGGTTGCTGCTGCTGGTAAAGACATCGGTACAGATGGGATCAGTATAGACAGGGTTGCTGCATGTAAAGACATCGGTACAGATGGGATCAGTATAGACAGGGTTGCTGCATGTAAAGACATCGGTACAGATGGGATCAGTATAGACAGGGTTGCTGCATGTAAAGACATCGGTACAGATGGGATCAGTATAGACAGGGTTGCTGCATGTAAAGACATCGGTACAGATGGGATCAGTATAGACAGGGTTGCTGCATGTAAAGACATCGGTACAGATGGGATCAGTATAGACAGGGTTGCTGCTGGTAAAGACATCGGTACAGATGGGATCAGTATAGACAGGGTTGCTGCATGTAAAGACATCGGTACAGATGGGATCAGTATAGACAGGGTTGCTGCATGTAAAGACATCGGTACAGATGGGATCAGTATAGACAGGGTTGCTGCATGTAAAGACATCGGTACAGATGGGATCAGTATAGACAGGGTTGCTGCTGGTAAAGACATCGGTACAGATGGGATCAGTATAGACAGGGTTGCTGCATGTAAAGACATCGGTACAGATGGGATCAGTATAGACAGGGTTGCTGCATGTAAAGACATCGGTACAGATGGGATCAGTATAGACAGGGTTGCTGCATGTAAAGACATCGGTACAGATGGGATCAGTATAGACAGGGTTGCTGCATGTAAAGAGACATCGGTACAGATGGGATCAGTATAGACAGGGTTGCTGCATGTAAAGACATGCGGTACAGATGGGATCAGTATAGACAGGGTTGCTGCATGTAAAGACATCGGTACAGATGGGATCAGTATAGACAGGGTTGCTGCATGTAAAGACATCGGTACAGATGGGATCAGTATAGACAGGGTTGCTGCTGTAAAGACATCGGTACAGATGGGATCAGTATAGACAGGGTTGCTGCATGTAAAGACATCGGTACAGATGGGACAGTATAGACAGGGTTGCTGTGCATGTAAAGACATCGGTACAGATGGGATCAGTATAGACAGGGTTGCTGCATGTAAAGACATCGGTACAGATGGGATCAGTATAGACAGGGTTGCTGCATGTAAAGACATCGGTACAGATGGGATCAGTATAGACAGGGTTGCTGCTGGTAAAGACATCGGTACAGATGGGATCAGTATAGACAGGGTTGCTGCATGTAAAGACATCGGTACAGATGGGATCAGTATAGACAGGGTTGCTGCTGGTAAAGACATCGGTACAGATGGGATCAGTATAGACAGGGTTGCTGCATGTAAAGACATCGGTACAGATGGGATCAGTATAGACAGGGTTGCTGCATGTAAAGACATCGGTACAGATGGGATCAGTATAGACAGGGTTGCTGCATGTAAAGACATCGGTACAGATGGGATCAGTATAGACAGGGTTGCTGCTGGTAAAGACATCGGTACAGATGGGATCAGTATAGACAGGGTTGCTGCATGTAAAGACATCGGTACAGATGGGATCAGTATAGACAGGGTTGCTGCATGTAAAGACATCGGTACAGATGGGATCAGTATAGACAGGGTTGCTGCATGTAAAGACATCGGTACAGATGGGATCAGTATAGACAGGGTTGCTGCTGGTAAAGACATCGGTACAGATGGGATCAGTATAGACAGGGTTGCTGCATGTAAAGACATCGGTACAGATGGGATCAGTATAGACAGGGTTGCTGCATGTAAAGACATCGGTACAGATGGGATCAGTATAGACAGGGTTGCTGCATGTAAAGACATCGGTACAGATGGGATCAGTATAGACAGGGTTGCTGCTGGTAAAGACATCGGTACAGATGGGATCAGTATAGACAGGGTTGCTGCTGTAAAGACATCGGTACAGATGGGATCAGTATAGACAGGGTTGCTGCTGGTAAAGACATCGGTACAGATGGGATCAGTATAGACAGGGTTGCTGCTGGTAAAGACATCGGTACAGATGGGATCAGTATAGACAGGGTTGCTGCATGTAAAGACATCGGTACAGATGGGATCAGTATAGACAGGGTTGCTGCATGTAAAGACATCGGTACAGATGGGATCAGTATAGACAGGGTTGCTGCATGTAAAGACATCGGTACAGATGGGATCAGTATAGACAGGGTTGCTGCATGTAAAGACATCGGTACAGATGGGATCAGTATAGACAGGGTTGCTGCTGGTAAAGACATCGGTACAGATGGGATCAGTATAGACAGGGTTGCTGCTGGTAAAGACATCGGTACAGATGGGATCAGTATAGACAGGGTTGCTGCATGTAAAGACATCGGTACAGATGGGATCAGTATAGACAGGGTTGCTGCATGTAAAGACATCGGTACAGATGGGATCAGTATAGACAGGGTTGCTGCATGTAAAGACATCGGTACAGATGGGATCAGTATAGACAGGGTTGCTGCTGGTAAAGACATCGGTACAGATGGGATCAGTATAGACAGGGTTGCTGCATGTAAAGACATCGGTACAGATGGGATCAGTATAGACAGGGTTGCTGCATGGTAAAGACATCGGTACAGATGGGATCAGTATAGACAGGGTTGCTGCATGTAAAGACATCGGTACAGATGGGATCAGTATAGACAGGGTTGCTGCATGGTAAAGACATCGGTATAGATGGGATCAGTATAGACAGGGTTGCTGCATGTAAAGACATCGGTACAGATGGGATCAGTATAGACAGGGTTGCTGCATGTAAAGACATCGGTACAGATGGGATCAGTATAGACAGGGTTGCTGCATGTAAAGACATCGGTACAGATGGGATCAGTATAGACAGGGTTGCTGCATGTA